AGATAGCCCTCGTGTAGTTTTGCGCGAAATTCAAACCAAACCTTCAAACCTATCCTTTAAACTAAACTAAAACTATTAATAAACAAATAAAAACTAATTTCAAAAAACCTTCAAAGCCAGCCCTTATCATTCAAATATTTATCAAGTTTTTTCTTAAAATCACTTAACTTACCGTATCCACCACAACCCATTCCAAAGACCAACCACCCTGTTAGAAAAATAAAGCTGTCTTATCTGAAAATGACACCTACCCTGCCAAAATTTCTATTTGTGTCACATAGTCCTACCATTCTCACCATTAAGTACAAAAACTGTGATGCATGAACACTATAAATTCCCTTAGCAATCTTAAACACCTTAATCAGATTCCCTGTAACTCTTCTGTTTTTCAAGTGAAAACGATTTCAAAGATCTTAACCTATCCTCGTATGTCTACCTTTCTATCACAGATATCATCCTTGTTGTCCTCCTCTGAACCCTTTACAACAATTCAATGTCCTTCCTACGGTAAGGAGCCCAATACGGAACATTATACTCCAAATATGGCCTAACTAATAACCTCTACAATTTATTATAACCTCTTTTCAACTAGTTGTAACCTCTTTAGGGTGTGAGAGAATGTTCTCCTTAAAGCAAGGGGTTCTTTAAATTAGAACATTTGTGTACAAAGTTAAAATTAACAGAGAGTGTTTTAATAATGGCTGGAGACGGCTTGAATGGGTGATGAAGAAAAACTTTAATATAAGTTTAACATAACAGTTAAAACATAACATAAAGCTAAAAACTCCCATCAACAGAAATTATGTTTTAAAGTTACGCTTTAACTTAAAGAGTAGGCTTCTTGTTATTACCCATTACATTAAATTATTTTTTATGTATTTTTAATTTTCACGTCATTTCACGACTATATCAAACTACAGTACCTCAATTTTCTTTCTTTCGTCAGTTATTATAGAAAATTACATGACGTAACAGTGGTCTTCTTTCGTTTTATGACAGAACAAAAACTATACAACGTATGAGAAAAATGAATAAAAACCCTATGACCCGAACGCTTTCCAAAGGTGGACCTTTCTTCTTCAGGGTTATAGGATTTTTATTCATTTCTCTCAAGACTTCTTGAACCTACGTGTTTTTCTAACATCATGACTATACAATGTACGTTAGGCTTAACCTATCTTATCATAATTAAGTTGATTACATTATTTTAAGTTACTTTTTCATTATACCAAGCTACAAAACCTAATGATAGTTTTTAATCTCTTCATAATCGTACCGAAATATAATAATGTTACTTAACATGTTTGTACACAAATATGATATTAAATTATACTATATCTTCTTTCACAGTTGGACAAAATGGCGCAAGTTAAAACTCCTCTTTTATACCTTTGACTAAAAAAAAAATACTAATTGTTCTTGTCTTTTCTTTCACCATAGTAATAAAAATGAAAAACCTAATTTCTATTTTATGTTTTTAAACATACATAAAAGCATAGATAGGAAGTTTAAATATTCAGTAAAGTATCTAATTATGCAAGATTACTTGGAGACTCAGATAAGTTTGCGTAATACATTCCGCGTTTTAATTCTACAACAAGGATTTTTGTTCGTTTGTTGTTATGCACAAAGCTACACAATGGGCTATCTGTGCTGTGCCCACCACGGGTATCGAAACCCGGTTTCTAGCGTTGTAAGTCCGCAGACATACCGATGTGCCACTGGGGGGGGGGGGGCTCTACAACAAGGAATGGCCCAATTATGACTTTAAATTTCGAAATGATAAATAAGGAAAAGTTATTAGTTGTTTCTTTATTACTTCATATTCATAACTTCTGATCAAAAGTAAGACTAACGGAATTAATTCCATAGAGATTTGAGTATATTGTATTAAAACGATACTGAATATGCAAATCAGCAAGTCCACGTGACAACCACAGCTGATATACAGTCGCGGTGAAACGGAATGTATCAGAACTACATTTTGACGTTATTGGGTGTTACGATGCCACCGAAATTGATCACTTTTATGAAAAGTGTGTAACAGTCCTTTGCAGTGTAATATATGCATACTGTCAGATCATAAAGATATATTCAGATCGGAATTTAGAGTTTCCATTTTGGTGATATACCTTCTACTTAAAGGCGTTGGACAACAAAGGAATATGGATCAACTTGCGATACGAGGACCTTCCAGAAAGAGACCTACAACAAGTCATACTCTAGTCGTGGTAAACAAAGTGTGTCGTCTTGTGACAGGTGAGAACCAACAAATACAGAGGTCAGTGGCAAATACCGTTCACATGCTCCTGGCAGTAGTACACAACATAGTCAAGAATGATCTCCGTCTGAAAATAAGACCAACAGTTTCACCAAGATAAGGTTTACAGTCGTGCCTCCCTTTCAACCATGACATACCTCAAGCAACTGAATAATGAAATGGGTATTCATGCTTTTCCATATGAAAATATACAGTCAAGTCACCAACGTATTTCTATGAGATAAGATTGTTCTAATGAGCGCTTGAAAAACCACCATCCTCGTACACTAGATGGATTATGGAAAACATGCAGGGAGCAGTGATGTGCATGTGCTTTAGATATGCCAGCCTTTTAAAATGGAAATTACGATGCAGGGCTATTGTCCAGATGCCCAATCGTCATAGAGAGCATGACTGGCAATGGCGACATGGACTGTAATGATGTAGTTTTAATACAATGTAATCTCTGTATATAAAAGTTATATAAAACTAACTTACCACATAATGTCATAAATCAAGATACCAGAAAATTAAAAATTATAATTACTAGCAGAAACGACGCCCTACGGTAATATTTTTATATATTAAAAGTGGTAACGTTTATTGAAAAAATAATAGTTTTTTAAGAACTCCAGTTTCTCAGTACTACATTTAAAAATTACATCAATAAAGATATAATCAAACCCTGACGTACAGTCCTAGTGAAAGTCGTGAACTTGTTTTAATGACAGTACTTTTATTTAAAATTGTGTTCTATTATAAAGATATGCTTGTTGTACATACTGTAGTTATTCTTCTAAGTGTCTGAATCTCGAATAACCAAAGTGTAAATTTTTTTATCGATTTTTGTTTGTGGTGCCATTCCATAGATGGCGCAGGAGTTTTGCTTACATACAAAGATAATGACATACACGCTAGTAAGACTAGACTACATTGATTCTTCAACTTTGTTCGATCACCATTAACGACATTATCGGCTTTAAACCAAATAACATCTCACGACAGATTTAGATTACTCTAAAACTAAGTTAACAAAGAGTAATTAACTTTATAAGTGTAAGACGAGGCTTAATTATGTGTGTTTCTTTGTTATTACTCTCCCAAAAATGATAATTTTCTTTCACAGTCAAATGTGTGATTAGAATTGTTGTTTTCTCTCATGATCAGTTGACAAGCGAGATGTCGTCCAGAGTGTCACTCCTTCACCACTTATATCACGTAAAGGCCACCAAGGAAAGTCTACGCCTCATCTGATTCACAGTTTTACGTTTCAAGATGGCAAGACATTGAGCTACCCAACTCAACCCAGCTCCAGTTGCAGATCTTTGACATCCGCTCATGACTCCTTGCATACTTCGCTATTGGATGTCAGTTTCAAAGAAAAACAAGATATGATGAAACTGAAGTATGGACCGCCGTGCCAACAAGAAAGTTGCCTGTGATGAATATAAAAAAAAATCATTTCAGTAAACAGATTGAGCTGTCGTAATAATGTGTGTATTTTCAAGAAAGGGTTAATTTGTTGAAAATATTATTAATATTTATCTTAAGCAACAGAACAGTGTTGTCTTCAAAACAATTACAGTTAGGTCTTTGATAATTGTTGTGTATTGTCATTAATATAATACGCTGTCGTTTTGTAAAGCATTAAGGAACGTATATGTAACAAGAAGAAATGGTGTAATATGAAACATTTTTTGTTTGTTTCGGATACTCGCTCAAAACTCCACATGGTATATCTCCTCTAATTTTGAACTGATAAACCATAGGGAAGGCAGCTAGTCAACAACAACCACCGCCAACCCTTAAACAGCATGACGTTTTGTAAACGTTATATCAGAAAAACTCTTATTGTCTTTTGACCTTTGACCCCAGGTTCTTTACACGATTTTTTCAGTAAATTGCCCAGTCATATTGTGTTAGTTTCTTAACTTATTGGATGTGACCCGGTTTATAGCGAATTGGTTTGAGGATCTAAGGTCCATGATTCCAGATGTGATGTCGCTGGGCACGTTCAACTGTAGACGAGTTTTAAAAGTAACAGTCAGTTCCGTTATTCGGTTCAAAAAGTCGGATACAGCTCTTATGGCTTTAGTTGTCCAAAATATACCTGAACCTTGGAGGTCTCTAATCTGACTGTTTAGCCTATGTACCATTCAGGTTGAAATTCCATTTTTAACTTGTAAAGATCCAGATTGACACATGGATATACTAACATGGCGGTGGCTTAGTAAAAATTACGATTTCTCTGTGAACATTAATTAAAGGTGGTGCTGTGTTATAAACTAGAACTATTCCAGTTTTATAGCATAAGGTCTTAATAACATCACAAGGTTTTTAACCAATAGCGCTCAAAAAACCAAAGATAAAATAAGAATCCCGACAAACAGTACAATACTCTCAAGTGAGTTGCGAGCACGTATTCTGTTTCAAACATTCAATATTTTGTCAATAGATGGCAGTGTAGGATTGTTTAATGTTTCCTAGTTGAACTGAATCATCAATTCCACTTCTAATTAACCCAGTTCACCATTTTAAATATTTTACCTAATTTCAGGTGTGCAACCATATTTTTTAGAGGAAGAGGCTTACTTTTAAACCACCAGCTTTTCAATGATACATTGTACTTGATTAATTAATGTATAACAAACTAATAAGTGCATTTCTTTTTTTGTTAAAGTAGTTCAGGTAAGAGATAAATACTCAGCTATTTAAATGTGACTTTTCCTATCAAAAGTTCGTGACTAAGGGAATAATTCAAGCCTTTGTTGTGCATAGAGTTGTCAAGTTAACCCTTGCGCGTCCCTGTTGGTGAGCGTGTGTGTATATATATATATATATATATTGTGTGTTTGTATATACTTTACTGTAAATAATTCCGAGAACGTAAAAAGTAAAAGAGAATATACGTAACAATATCAACCACGCACGCACACACACACACACACACACACACACATATATACCATGTATTGGGCCGACGAGGCCTTTCAGAGAGAGAGTCATCATTATTACGTTGTGGCGGCCCAGTGGTTAGGGTATGCGGAGTTTAGAGCACGCGAGTTATGCGTCCTTTGTTGCTAAGATACCGTTCTGTAGTTTGGGGCACGCCCTATACGAGTGACGATCAAATTATAAATTATTTTAAACAAGAGCAACAAACAGTTGGCGGCGTGTGCTGTTGACTAGATTTAAGTCAATCAGTTCAAAATCGGGGACGGCTAAGCGCGGGATAGCCTTTCTGTAGCTTTGCGGGAAAGTTCTAAAACAAGCAAAGAATTGTGTTTCATTTGGACGTCGGAAATTTACAAAGTAAAACCTACTTATTGGTTGATCATAGGGGGCGTAGATCAAATATTGGAAAGGTCAGTGGCGCGGTTTGGTGAAAAGAAAGAAGGTAAAACGATCCTTCCTTATAATTTATACTCATGGTGACAAATGTGGTCTAATCGTTGTAAAAATAGGGTTAAATAGTATTTATATAACTCGGGAGCTTTAAGACTTACCGCTGAGCCATCGGGGGAGGGGAGGAATGGGGGAGATAAATAGAATGACTTTGTTAGGAATGGATGAAGCAGAACTAACTAAACAGAAACAACATGTCAGAACAAGTTCTGGCTCTCTCAGTTAAAAACAAAACTAAAACGAACTACCTTCCTCAAAAGTTTGAATGAATCTGACATACGAAAGTGCCAAAACTACGAATGGGCACAAGTGGGCTATATGGGCATTTTAGGATTCCGATATAGTTGTCCTTAATTTTAACTATTGACAAGAGAAGGCAGAGCAAGGAAGCCGAACACTTACGATATATGGGATTGACTGTTACTTTTATAACAGCTGAAAGTGTGGACTATGTTCAGCGGTATCACGTCTTTCAAGTTGTACAAGTATGGTAGACAGTATTAAAATAAAACAAACTCAATGTCGAAATTTTGAAGTTTATTGAGATTTTATCAAATTCTCATCAGTACAAAAACACCAGTAAAACTTTATATAATGCTGCTGTAAATTGAGGGAAGAAAATCATTAGTGAATACTACAGCCTAAACCTTTTAAAGATCTTAGTTTCTTAAAAGCTCTTTATATAAAGATTTCAAAAATGAACCCTATGTCACAGCTATAATAACAGATCTCAATTGCACTTAACTGTATATTAGGCCTAATTTTAAAATGGCACGTATAAAGTCAACGATAGGGATTTCTTGGAATCTTATAATAGCTTTATTATTAAATAAAACTGAAGCACATATCTTAAAAAAAACTAAATATCAACAATATGGAATGTCCATGCTTTGCACTTCCAGCATCTAAAAAGTATTAACTAAAGAATACAGTAGCCTTTGTAATAATGAAACACTTTTTTTTAATGTGGATTTGAATAACTTTGATAGAAATCAGGTAGATATTTTAAATATATTTACAGTCCTTATAACCTCAGCATAAAATCAAAAGTCATTTCAAATCACCTGAATCAGATTTGTTAGATATTAATTCCAGATTTAAAAAAACAAAATGCATATAAATCTATCAGGGTACCCTGTTTCAGGTTAAGCAGAGATCCTGAAAACCGTTACCATGGCAACCACGATACATCAACTCCTATAACTCTGCTAGTACAGAGTGAAGAAGGAAAAACTGTGGCTACATTGGAGATTTTTTTACACACTGTCCTTTCTAAGTCTCTGTTCCATTTAACTAATTAGCGAGACTATATCAACCAAGTCTTGTCTACTGAAGATTCAAAAAATGTGTTTCGATAGAAATCGATTCCAATATGTCAGATAAAAAAAAACTATAATGTGTGTATGTATATATATATATCAATGCTTAAAACTTTCAAATGTAATCTGAAGAGTATTCAATCCTATTGTACACACATAATGATAACTCTGGTACTTTTCAAACTTGCTGGTTTTCTTGTTATAAATTACTTTCTTCAATACATATTTAAACAAGCTAACATAATAAATTCCTCAAGATTGAGTGGGAAGTAAATATTATTTAGAAATAGAAAATTTTGTTTTATATCCACAGAATATGGCACAAGTCAATTAATTCTCATATTAAAATATTTTTAACTGAACTTTTTTATATTAAAGCCCATACCAACACATAACTCAGCCAGCTGTCCATAAAGTGGTTCCAAAATTTAAATTTGTACCCTCACAAACTTCGTTAAAAAAAAAACACAGTTAGATATACACACACACACACACACAGAACAAAAAAAAAGAAATAGAGAGAGAGAGAGATCGGTACAACTACAACTGTAATGCATAGTTTATATACAACTTAGTAGAAGAAACGGAATTCGGCTATTTCTATTATACTGGTTGGTATCTATCAACAAAAACAAACTCAAATATTTTGCTGGAATGATATTTTGCAATTTTAGTTACATAATAAAAGAACCATATCAAATAAACTTCATACACCTGAAGATATCAAATAGAAAGATGCCACAAGAATGTTAACCCACATAAATAGAAGTATAAATAATAAAAATGATTATTACTTGCACTACTTTTAACTGAGGAATAACACATTTTCTAAATAGTAAAGAGTACTTTTCTTTCTTGATGCAATTACACATACAAATAATAAAAGCTTTTCGTTTAATGACAAAAACAAGTTTGGTGTAATAAAACAGCTACAAGTTGTTTGAACTGTTATTATAAAACCCTGAATTTTACCTTCATGTCTACTGAACCAATGCTAATATTTTAAAAACAGTACTAACCACTTCAAAAACACTATCAAAAAAACCCCTTTATGCACAAATATAATTTTGTGAAGATGACTGACAGCATCACCCCTAATGAACGTTAATAAATGTTTATTTATTATATATGCTAAAGATTTTACAGTAACATCTCTAAATATTGCTTATTGTCAATTACAGCCAGAAATATAATTTACATATTGTAAATAAAAACAAGAAATACTTATTTGATTAGTAAAATCTTAAGATGTAACTGTATTTTTGTACAATATTATGTCAAACTGTAAGACAGATGGTCCATGACTGTCGTGAATGTGTAATTTTTGTCTTATCATGTAAAACGTTTAATAATTAAATAGCTATAACACAATGATACATATATTTTACACAGAATAAAACCACATCTAATATAACAAGATTCTGAATTCATAAATGGGTATTTTACAAGACATAATAAAGCACGCACATCAAGAAAATATCAGCTGTTACCTAATAAATGTAATAGCAAAACAAAGAGCACAATACATACAAAATATATTTGGGAATGTAAACAGTAAAGTCGTAATAAGTAAATATTATTTACTAGAAACATTAATATAAAACGAATATAATGCTTTAGCAATAATGGAAAGTCACAAAAAACAAATCATAATTCTGTGGTCATTACGGTACGATGATGGAGCCTCTCGCTCTCTCGTCGTGTCATGCTCTCACCAGTGGAAACGTGCCAGGGCGAAAGAACACTAGAATTAGAAGAGGAAGATGTCTTCTTCAATAACGCAACATTCCGAGAACTGGCAGACGACACAGATCTAGTAATAGGGTTTGCTGCAGCAAATGATGTCTCCTATGTCGAAAAAATAAATGATAAATCTGTTACAAAAATGAGACTTTTTTTATTCTGTTCCATTTGTTCTATTTTTTTTGTACATAAATTATATATGCAGTAAAAGTCTACAATTTAATAATGCTTCTTTTTTTTTTACTGATATTGAAAATTAAAGTCTCAAATCTATCTGAATCCAACAAAATAAACTTCACTGAATTCCGGTAATTAATAGCATTCAACTGTTATATTACAGTCACAGTTGGTAAGCTGTTGCCTTTCATACAATGTAATTAATAGCATTCAACTGTTATATTACAGTCACAGTTGGTAAGCTGTTGCCTTTCATACAATGTAATTAATAGCATTCAACTGTTATATTACAGTCACAGTTGGTAAGCTGTTGCCTTTCATACAATGTAATTAATAGCATTCAACTGTTATATTACAGTCACAGTTGGTAAGCTGTTGCCTTTCATACAATGTAATTAAATAATGATAGTTTGTTTGAATACCTCAATAC